ACACCATGTTCCATTCTCACATACACTTTATTTCACTCTCTAGTTCTTCAGTATCACTGCAAAGCTTAAAACTCCCATGTTGGGTATAACAGAGCCAGGACTGGTAAAACCGCAAAAGTCCTACTCTTCCTTACATTTCTTAGGTATTGCCAAGTCTGACATGACAGCACCTCTTTTGACCAACATGTGAAGTAGATCATGAGTGGCATCCTTGGGTGCTTTGGTAAAAGTAATTGCCGTGCTCTGCCTACATTAATTTGGTTAGTTATCCAGCTGCCATTTGAATTTAGCCTGTTAGCCTTTGCTAGAAGAATTCTTGTTCACTTCATCCTGCTAGCTTTTTCACTTTTTCCCCCTTTCGGTAGTTACTGAATTTCAATGGTATTGAAATGGTATTTTTGGGGAATCAAGCAAGCAGAGAATTGCAACAAGGCAATCTATTGTTTTAAAGTTGTGCCCAGCAGGATGCACCAGTATTTAACATGCCATCAAAAATATGTTATTCTCATGAGTTTGTGCACCTTACATTTTTGCAGTTTACAACACTGCTTTACCAGGATGCGTGCTTTTTTTATTTTCCATGAGTTCAACACAAATAGCTTCATATGATGACATGGAAAATTGGGCTTTCCATGGTGACAGCCAACACGGCTTCACTAAGGGCAAATAATGCCTGAAAAATTTGGTGGCCTCCTGTGATGGCCTTACAGCATTGGTGGATAAGGAAAGAGTAACTGATGTCATCCACCTGGACTTGTGCAAAGCATTTGACACTGTCACGCACAACATCCTTGTCTCTAAATTGGAGAGACATGGATTTCACGGATGGACCACTTGGTGGATAAGGAATTGGCTGGATGGTCACACTCAAAGAGATGCAGTCAACGGCTTGATGTCCAAGTGGCAAGCAGTGATGAGTGGCGTTCACCAGGGGTCAGTACTGGGACCGGTGCTGTTTAACATCTTTGTTGGTGGCATGGATATTGGGATTGAGTGCACCCTCAGCAAGTTTGCCGACAACAGCAAGCTGTGTGGAGCAGTCAATATGCTGGAGGGAAGGGATGCCATCCAGAGGGACATGGACAGGCTGGAGAGGTGGGTCTGTGCAAATGTCATGAAGTTCAGCAAGGCCAAGGGCAAGGTCCTGCACATGGCCCAGGGCAATCCCATGCACAAATACAGGCTGGGTGGAGAATATATTGAGAGCAGCCCTGAGGAGAAGGAATTGGGGGTGTTGGTTGATGAAGAAGCTCAACGTGAGCTGACAATGTGTGCTTGCAGCGCAGAAGGCCAACCACATCCTGGGCTGCATCAAAAGAAGCATGGCCAGCAGGTCAAGGGAGGTGATTCTCCCCCTCTACTCCACTCTGCTGGGACCCACCTGGAGTACTGTATCCAGCTCTGGAGCCCCCAACATAAGAAGGACATGAACCTGTTGGAGCGAGTCCAGAGGATGGCCATGAAGATGATCAGAGGGTCGGAGCACCTCTCCTATGGAGACAGGCTGAGAGAGTTGGTGCTGTTCAGCCTGGATAAGAGAAGACTCCTGGGGTAACCATATAGCAGTCTTCCGGTACTTAAAGGGGGCCTACAGGAAAGATGGGGAGGGACTCTTTATCAGGGAGTGCAGCAATAGGTTGAGGGGTGACAGTTTTAAACTGGAAGAGGGTAGATTTAGTTTAGCTATTAGGAAGAAATTCCTTAATGTCTGGGTGGTGGCACAATGGAACAGGTTTCCCAGAGGAGTTGTGGATGCCCCATCCCTGGAGGTGTTCAAGGGCAGGTTGGATGGGGCTTTGTGCACTCTGGTCTAGAGGGAGGTGTCCCTGCCCATGGCAGACGGGTTGGAACTGGATGATCTTTAAGGTCGTTTCCAACCTAAACCATTCTATGATTCTATGAATCAAATATTTATTTCTCCCCCTTCCAAAATACTGAGAAAGAAACATACTAGCTTGAAAATAGCCTGTTTTAAGATAAATCTTGCAGTTTTCTTCCTTTGCTTTGTCTTTCCATACAAGTATTTCACAGACTGGTGACGATACCTGGTATTAGCATACAGCAGGCAGCCTATTTTCTTTTCGCAGCTATTTTCTCGTCTCACCACAAGATGTCGGTATGACCCATTCATACCGGTAACGTGTTGCTCCCAGCCAACTGTTGAAAGCTGCCAATGGATCCCGTTCTTTTCCTTCAAAAATCCGCAAAAGATATTGAGGCTATAGACATGTGCAATCAGCAAAAGAGAGCATGAACTGACAACTGCAAGTCTGCGATAACTAATTGCCTCACTTCAGTTTTGCAAAGAACATTTCTGCAATACTTGCCACGCCGGTCAGTCGTTTCCCATCCGCTGTGCAGCACGGAGCAAGGCCTTTGTATCCATAGAAAACCGGGGGAAGAAAACCCAAGGCATCGAGCTGACTGTGAAGAACATTGATTCAGCTCCTGCTAGATCTGCTCCAAAGGTTCAAAATGACCTCAGTAACCAACTGTTTTTAAAATGCATTGCTCGACTGGAGCATGCCATAGGTATTTGAAGAGTACAGTGGCATAAACATCAAAAGTTCCTTGCAGCACCATGTCCATATTTAAACTTGAAAGTTTGAAAATATATCCCAAATTGCTGGGACGTTTGCATTTCAGGGGTGTTATCTTTTTGTAGTTGACACTTTCTCCATGTTAGCAACAAAGAGATAAGACATATCATGATAATTCCTGAGCCAGTAGGTGGCAAACAGAGAGAAGAGGGGACTGGGACCGAGGAGAAAGCACAATGGGAGAGCAGAAAGAGGTTACTTGACTTCATTACCAAATCTTGCTGATTCCTTGTCCTACAGAGTAGAAAGGGATCCTATGAGCTTCTGTAGAGCTTTGCGTATGACATGAATTTAAAGGGTATTCAAAGCATCTCTTGTGTTAATTAGACCAGATAGATAGTTCCAAATACGCTTAACGTTTGAAAGACTAATGCAACTGTTTCTGGGAACAGATATAGCTGTCTAACAGTGAGCTGCCCTGAGGTGGTGGTTTCTGTTTTCATTTAAAGTGTAAGTATAGGCAAGTTTACCTTTTTCCAGAGAAGATGGGAATAATTAAAATAAAATAAAAAATAAAAGAATGCGCTATTTCTGCAGAGTACATTTATTAATGAAGTGCAAAATTGAAGTAAAATAAGTCAGGCTATCATCACAGAATTCAGTAGGGACAGCAATAACTTTCACCAATCTCTAAAAGCATAATATCACAACCAACCAGGCATACTGCTTCACTTCAGGGTTAAAGTTTCCTCATCAAGTGGATCATTGGCTAGCAAAACAGAAAACAGCTGCTGAACAGATAATGGGCAACACTCCAGGTTATTTTTATCACTATTTTAGCAAGCCACACATTTGGAATTGCATTTCTAAATGATTTCTGGAGGACAGTTTGACAGGAGAAAATCCAATAGTTAAATAAAGTAGCGTAACTCTCCTTTCCCACAATACTCAATTAAATGGTTGCCCATTAATGTAAGTTATCCTGAACCTTTGATCTATCTTTGAAAATTTCCTTACCTTGCGATGCAGCCTTCATGAGTCTAAAATAAAATAGCAACCTTAGAACCTTAATTATAGATGTCTGGTAGTGCTGCTCTGTTATCAACTCAATACAGAAGTTCATTTCTGATAGGTATCGAAATTCAACATTCCCTGTGAGTCCGTTAGCAAACAAAGATCCCACATAAACTGATTTGTCAATTTCATGGTAATGGAAAATGTAATGACAAGAGAGAGACAAAGCTCTGAAAAACAATAGCCAAACAAGAAGGAATAAAAGTATTGAGTTTGCTTATTTCTACCATTAGTGCAATTGAGGGAAATAAACAGTTTTCACCATCATTTGCCATACTGCATTCTGCTTTACATTACAAAGCCCAGCTAGATGGATTTTCTAGCAAATGTATTAAAATTTGGAAATGCTTTTCCCTTTTCACTGCGCTTTTCTCTTAGGTCTTGTTAACTGCGCTGTTAACACATGTAGGCATTATTTGCCCTGAGATCACAGAGCAGCAATAAGATTACGCCACAGAGAGCCTTTGAGGTCACCAGTCCTGCTCTCTAGACAATTGCGGTAGATGGGATCATAGATTCAAGCTGTTAAGCCCCAGAAGATGAAGGTTATTGGGACAACGTGATACCATTAAGGATTTGGAGTTGTCTTTACTATTCAGCTGGGCAAAAATAACTCTGCCCTCTCCTGGAAGCTGTGAAACATGAGCTTTCACCACAATTTTCCCTGCAGTCTTGAGTCTGACTCCCCGACATGCTGGAGAAGACTCTGCTGTGTTTGTAGGTCACCAAGATTGCAGACTCAGCCTTTCAGGCACCCCTTCTTTGAGCAGGGATGATTATGGTTCCCTCCTCCTGCCAATAACATGGTTAACCATGCCCACATTTCACCTATGCACAACGTCCAATGCACTTGATAATTTTATAGTTTACCTAACCTGAAATCTACTCCATTCCTTCTGTCCAGCTAATTAAATCTCTTCCCTCAGTAACTTTGTATTTCAGTTAGAAGAAATACAGATATCTATTGCCGTGTACCCCTGGGAAAAACAGAATCACTGAACCCGTTTAAATCAAAGAATCTTTCACATTATTTGTCTGCTCATTATGCATAACGGCAAACAGCACAGTATTGCAACAATTAGTCGTGCATTAAAATTTTGCTTTTACTACTTAGGCATGAAAGCTGTGCATGTGTTGAAGCCACTCAAGACCCCAGCACTATAAATAGTGCTCTATTGTCAGTGGATAAAAGATGAAACAAGCCTCCTGGCACTGCAGCACAGCACGTCCCATTAAATGTTAAGCTCTGCCTGTGCTAAAAGGGAAGGGCGACATCAACTGATAAACTAGTCTGCTGGTAAGGCGTACGACTGGGAAGAGTTTGCTCCGACTCCGCAGCTTCCCCAAAGCGACGCAGGAGCAGCGACTTACCGTTCTGCCTCAGCAATGGCAGAAGCTGTTATAAGACACTGGGTGGAAACTCCCATACGCTACCAAGAGCAGTTTGCTGCCCAAGAGCTGGAAGCACACAAACTGGACCACTTTTTATACGCTTTGCCAGGCCCTTCTACAGCTGCACTGGGTGGCAGAAGGTGTATCACAGAAAGTACAGCTGGGGCCGGGAAGAGCAAGAGCGGCCGGGAGGAGGAAAACACGCGCTTTCAGGTCCTGCTGGACGTTGTGCAATTCCGCCCTGAAGATATCATCATTCAGACTTTCGAAGGCTGGCTCCTGATCAAAGCTCAGCACGGACCCAGGATGGACGAACACGGTTTCGTATCCAGAAGCTTTACCAGACAATACAAATTACCTAATGGAGTGGAGAACAAAGACTTGTCTGCGCTCTTCTGCCATGATGGCATTTTGGTTGTTGAAATGAAGAATTCAGTGGGAAAGAATTAGAACCTTGTCCATAGTTTATTGGTGAGATAAAATCATTCTTAATATAACAAAATAATATAATTCAAGCAATGCTATAGAGTGCAGTAAGCATGTGGCCATATTTATATTACAGTAAAGGAAAATCTTTGTATATCTTTTTCAGTATGCTGAGTTTATTGTTTGATGTGAAATGTTAGACTGCTTGCCTCCAGCTGCATATGTGTTGAAAAGCCAGGCTTTTTGAACAGTAGAAAATTCAGGCTAATCACAGCAAGAGAAAAAAAAAATCTATTTGATAACATATTGAAAATAAAGCACATTCATGAGTTATGCAGGAGGTTTTGTATTTCTAAGGAATAAGCATTTGTCATACATAGTCATAATCATTAAAGAAGAAATAGACAGGTGGTAAGTCTTTTGGAAATTTAATTTATGTGCTAAAACATCTGTTTTCTAATTTTTGAGATTAAATTCTTTTTCCTTAGGCTCTGGAAAAGCACACAAAACAAAGGATACTATCAAGGAAAAAAACCCTGTTTCCACAGTTCAAGCTTGTATACAAAAAACCCTTGAGATATTACTTTTTAGAAGTGTATTGCATGTTTGAAACTATAAGAAGAAAGAGTAACCACTGACTATATTTGCTTGAAAACATAGTAAGTAGAAATTATACTTTCTGTCAAAGACAAATTAATTTGAAAGAAAACACTCAAAGACATTTAGAAAGTTGGTTTTGTTTAACATATTCTGCTATTGATCAGCAACTGAAGAAGAAATATATTGCTTACAATTACTCAAAAAAGTATCAAATTCTTCCTTGTGAAACCCCGGTAATAAAAAGGCATTAGTCTAGCACAGATGCATTTATTCTTATGCATTTTAGGTAGTCTTGTTGTTCAATCAGATGAATATTTTATTGTACGTGTTATTTGACAGTTTTGGCTGAGATCCCACAACTGTGTCTTGAAGAGCAAATTTTTCTGCCTGCATATAGTCCCACTCTCCCCATATGTATGTGGGCTCTACATTAATCTAATTTTGAGTGCAGAGGTTCCTCACTACAGACACAGGTTTAATTTCTGTCTCTGTGTCTCTCATTTCATGAGAGTGGTAGAGATGAAAAAAAATCCACCCACTATATCTAGTATCTGTTCTTCTCAACATTAAAAAGAAATACTCTGTAAGTGAGTTTGTAAATACGCAAACATTTGAGGAGATCTGCAGCTGCAAGTCAAACCGCCTCCTTTTATGTGTACTAGAGATGAGTATGACTGCTGTGCTATGAATAGTAAAGGAATGTGCAATGGAAAGTGCCAAGTTAAATACAGACTCTTTATGATAGCCATCTGCTGTTTGGACAAATCAAAAACATATTCAAATGAAACTGAATACAAATACCATTTTAAGAATATGAGAAAAACCTGATGAGCAAAACCCAGGCTCTCGCTAGCTGAAGCCAGAGAGTTCCTTTAGTAGAAAATGAAAGCCCTAAGTTTGTACATCTGCACATGACCATTCATTAGAAAGATTTATGTCATGGTTGTTTAGACTTGAAGATATTTGAAGCAATTGACTAGAAAAGTGCGTAGTGCAATTCTCGCATTTTAGTTATTATTTGTGCTAAAAATCACAAGGAAATTGTACAAGAAATGCAGAATAAGGTCTGGATTGTAAATTTCCATCATGTGCAATTATTTTATTTTTTCAATAGAGCAGAAATCAAGAACTTAATGTTTTCTAAGAAACCAAACCAAATATAAAACATATGTCCCTACATTTCCACTCAACCCACACTTTTCCCTCGTACTACCTGTGTTTAATTTGTCTATTGGTTTAAGATAATAAACGATCACGATCATGCTAGAAAATCAGATCTAGATTTTCAACATCTAGAAGCAAGAGGCTTCCTCAGCCAGGAATCTGATGGAAGATGTAACATGGATTTAAAAAAAATGAATTCTAGATAGAGATCTGGATTTAAACTTCACACAGCAACTTTATAAAAGCTCACAGGTTTAGACCCATGGTTTCCACATCACCTGATGGCACAACTGTTTGGATAGAGTTCAGGATCACCAGTCAGTAACCTGCTTTAGTGAATTTTGTTTACAGAGGATTTCATAAATTTGATCACTTAGAATTATAGGTTATTATAAAAATTATCCTAGCTATGACTGCAGTGGTGGTATTCATAGCCCTAGAGATGAAAAAGCAGTTCTAAAAAAAACATAAATGATTTAATTATTTCAAATTAGATCATGATTAAACTACTGGAAACTTGGCAAGGAATTAGACCAGACAGCCAAAATCGTATCGTCTGTTCTATGTATGTTAATACCACGGTTACACACAGCCCTGCTTATGTACCCGGGCCTGCCTCACAAAACTAGGTGGAGAATTTGGCATTTGGCTGGTCTGTATCATAGGTCTCTTCCCATCACTCTGTGTCCAGGTCTGTACTTGCCATGTCACCAGTCAGAAACCACTGGAACATGCTGACCCAAACATGTCAGGGATGTACCCAGGCGGATTTTACATTCTCCTGTACCCAGAGCTTTACAAAAGCCTACATCTGTGCTCCTTGGTGAATGGGAACTTGCCCCCGGCCCAGCACCCCAGTGCCCCTGTAACGGGGACCACGTTGGGAGTGTGGACCTGACGCTGGCTTCCTGCGTTTGAGCACCAAGGACAACACAGAGAAAAATGCTTCTCTCCTTTTTTTAGTGGCAGTTTATTCAAAGTTCTCAGATGAATGATTTTTATGTGTTTACCAGAACAGTCTCAAAGTACTTGGCAGAGCGTCTCCAAATTGTCTGGAAAGAGCTGTTTTCACATATCGCATGTGATGTTTTACTGTTATAATCTGATAAGAACTGAATGTGACTGGCATGGAGAAAACTGCTAATAGTGCTCATGGACAGTAGAATGAGAAATTTATCAACAGCAAAGGATTTCAGAACAGCTAGAGCTTAAGACAGGTTTAAGACCTGCTAATCTGGTTAAATTAAGAACCCGGATTTTGTCTGCCGACAAAATCCTGGCCCAGAATAAGCAATAAATGCTGTTGCAAGCCCTGCAGAGGAAGTGTTACGCAGCCTTCTCATTTCCCATCAGTGAAGGATTACCTTCGTAATTGACTAGACTGCTCCTGCAAATGGTTAAAGATGATTTCATGCATGAATCTACGCACTGCGAAAAATGCTTTCATAGAGGAGGAAAACGTCTCAATATCAGCACTAGTCTCGAAAAGTAAGGTAACAAACAAAGCCCACAAATGCCTTGGACTTGTTGCCTTTTTATAGTTTCTGCTGCAGCCAGGGCATCTGAGATGTCTCTAGACAATCTGACACCTGTGGTGCAGTGAACCGAGGCTGACACGACACCCATCCATCACTCAGCAACCGCTCGGCTACAGCCCTGGGCATTGGAAAAGAGGAAAGGGGTATCATGGTGGCAACATTCCCTCTAAGAGGGGTTAGGTCTTGCATTCCTTACTCAGTTCATAGCCAGGAATCAAAATGTGCTTTTTCATCTGAGTAATGTTACAAGATTTGGCTTTTAATGGAAGTACGAGTATTTCTGAAAATATTGAGTGCACCTTCTCTTGTTTGAAAGAGATGCTGACCTCTCTCTTGCCGACTACCAGAGACAACAGCTGGCCCCTGTCATCCAGAGCAGAGCATCTCAGAGGCCCTACAGTGGATAAGCACAAGGACTTAGACCTGGATGTCACATCCAAGATACCTGAGCTGGCCCTACTCGTGCTAACTCTGGAGCCAGAAGTACTGTCCCTGTGTGCCAGCTCAGGTCCAGAAAGCCCGGACTGCCCATTGCTGTGCTCAGGCTAAAAAAATTGTCGCTTATTAAAAATACTTTCACAGACAGAGAGACAGGAGAAACATGGCACTACAGCTCAGGACTCCCCGTCCAGGTTAGTGCTATTGTGGGGGTCTCGGCTCTCCATGCCACGGTGGGCTGTAGTCTCACCACAAATCCCATCAATCTCCTTAAAAAGACCCATCTTCAGCCACAGGGCAATACGGCTGATGCCAGCATTTTCAGGGGGAAGTATGTCTAGTAGCCGCTTGCACAAGAACGACTGGTGCAAGCAGAGAATCATTTGCAGTTCCTCTTGCGCTCCTTGGTGGGCTCCTCCTTTACCGTGCTTTGGGCTGGCCCTGATCCCAGCCAGGACCCCTCTTCTGCTGACGAAGCATGCCGCTCCCAAGCCCTGCCAGCTAACACAGAAGCAGCAGCAGGCAGGTCTGCGTACGGAGAGGGGATGGAAAACCGTATGACCAGGGTGTGCCTCGGCATGTAGCCAGCAAGGAAGCCCACCAGAGGTGTCTCAGGCAAGGATGGGGAGCAGGAGAAACATTCCAACTTGTTCAGAAAATATAAATGTATATATATACACACACATATATATATATATAAAGATTTTAAGGTATTTTAAGATTTTAAACCTCCTATGAGAAATATTTGACTTGATGATAAAATGAGCATTTTCAAAGGCTAAGAAAGACATTTCAAAATGACTTCAAAAATTTGGGTTGTTAATAGAAAAGGAATACCGTACATGGACTAAAACCTTTGTGTGCTAGGATGAAAGACTAAGTCACCTACTATCTTCAGCCACATTTCTTTCCAGTTGCACATCCCTTCAATTTTCCCATCCATTAATTGTACGTTGTCATCATGTAGGCAGAGATACCATGGCAGAATCTCCAAAAATTTCACTTACTCTTAGCAGAGTTGGGTGACATGGGGGTTAAAATGTGAGTGCTCTATCCAAACTAGCCACCCCAAAGTTTCTACAGTCAGGTCCTCATCAGCTCATGGCTGACTGATTCACTGTAAACTGGCCAACATGTGCAGTCATCCCTCTTGTTGGCTCTGCATGGAGTTGGTTTGATCCAGCACAACTTCCTCACTCAGGTGCCACCGTGCAGCCTCCAGGGCTGACTGGCACCTCGCTCTGTCCCACCACAGCACCGATGCAGAGCAGAGCTCAGCTGGTG